TCTCGTTAGGCCAAGTATCCATCTTATCATTCGCGTCTCCATCGTGCTCAGGATCTGCTCGTGTTTTCTTGTTGCTGGCCAACCTTCGGCTCCATACAGTGCGACTGGCCTCACCACAGTCCGATACACTTTCGACTTGAGATACAACGGGATTCGTCGGTCGCAGAGTACTCCTGTTACTTGCCGCCATTTTAGCCACGCCGCGTTCGTCCTAGCACGAGCATCAGTGATCGTGTCGCAATCCGACGTCACTCGGGAGCCCAGGTATTTGAACGTCGTGACCTTCTTCAGCGGCTGCCCATCGATGCTAATTGTGCCATCGGTTTGCTCTCCGCATTCCAGGTACTCGGTCTTTGCTACGTTCAGTCGTAGGCCATATTCCGCTAATCGTGTCTTCCATCTCACAGTCGCCTCTTCAAGCTCTTGTCTCGATCCGCTTGCTAGCTCGACGTCGTCTGCGTAAAGGAGCGTCCACGGGTGCGGCAGCTGGATGTCCTTCACCGTGTCCATGCACAGTATAAAGAGAAGCGGTGATAGAGCCGATCCTTGGTGTACTCCGACTTGGATTGGGAATGGCATTGACGTTCCCACTGCACAGCGTATGGCGCCCGTCGTGTTCGTACAGAGGAGTTTGATCCAGCGAACGTACTCTTCTGGGACGTCGTGTTGTCTCAGCGCATACCAGATCAGCCCGTGTGGTATCCGATCAAATGCCTTTTCTAAATCCAGGAATGCGAAATGAATCGGAATCCGTTTCTCCAAGTGCCTTTCCATTAGCAATCGTACCGCGTGGATGGCGTTGATGGTGCCAGATCCTTTTACAAAGCCGCATTGATTCGGGGTGACCTCCACTATACTTCGAATGCGTGCGTCGATGACTCGTTCGAAGATCTTCATCGTGTGGCATAGCAAGCGTATTGGTCGATATGATGAACAGTCGCTGACGTCGCCCTTTTCCTTCCAGATAGGGACTGTAACACTCGTAGTCCAGATTCGCGGCAACTGTCCGTCTACGATAATGCGGTTAAAGAGCGATGTGAGATATGCCGCTCCACGCTGCCCCATCATCTTCCACACTTCAGCAGGTATGTCATCGGGTCCCGGAGCTTTTCCGCTAGACATCTTCCTCAGTGCCTGCACAACTTCTGCCTCCTCGATCCGAGATACCGGTCCAAGTGTGGGGGCTCCTTGCGGTACTAACGGGTGCGGGAACTCCTCATTAAATAGCCCTTTGTAGTACTCACTCCACCGCTTGAGTATTGCCCTCGGCTTCGTCAGGAGGTTGCCCTCTGCGTCCTTAATGTGCATGACGTGGTCGATGTCCTGCTTCGCTCGATGTCGTGCAGCGGCCAGTCGGTAGACCTTGTTCGCTCCAGCAGGTCCTTCCAGCTCGTCGTAAAGTCTCTTGTAGTGTGCTTCCTTTGCTTCGGCTACCGCGTGCTTCGCCTTCGAGTTCTGTTCTCGATACCGACGGAGGTTTTCATTTGAGTGTGAGCGTTGCCAGGCTTTAAAAGCTTCTTTCTTCTCCTTGATCACTTGCTGGACTGACTCAGACCACCACCAGATCTGCTTGTCTACAAACCGGCGTCCTGGCTTGGTGGTTCCCAAAATTGTCTCGGCCTTCGATCGTATCTGCAAAGTAATCCGATTCCATTGCTCTTCAATCGACTCCTTATCATCCGTCGACACCCTCAAACCGTTAAAGGCAGTACATCGGCAGAATGAGACCCGTGACAAAACAAGGTCACAGGGTAGGAGCCCCCATATGGAACCTATCGGCCAAAGTCCGATCTTTCTCTGCCACTTCTAACCCCCGAAATTTGAAAGCGAAAGCAGCGCTCATCTCCTGTCCTCTCCGAACCCGCCCACCCCATGGACGAGTACACGCGGAGCCCGTCATGGCGAAGACGCAGAGTCGTTGCGGGACCTCATGCTTATAGCATTGCGGCTGGCGCTCTGACCGCGGAAGTCACTCGTCCATGGGATGGGTGGGTTCGGAGAGGACAGGAGATGAGCGCTGCTTTCGCTTTGAAAGTTCGGGGGTTAGAAGTGGCAGCGGAAGATCGTACTTTGGCCCATAGGTTCCATATGGGGGCTCCTACCCTGTGAACTTGTTTTGTCACGGGTCTCATTCTGCCGATGTACTGCCTTTAAGAGCATCTCTGACTTGCTGGCGATGTTCGGTGAGCTTCCACCATTTGATCCTCTTTGTAGTCGTCCTTCTGGCTCGTGAACGTAAGTGGATGTTCAGTCGAAGATCCAATACGAGCAACCGGTGTTGTGGCGCAAATGCATGTGTCGCCGTGGGTATAACCTTCGCATTCATCACCATCGGCAAGTGGCATCGGCGCAGCATCCAGTAGTCGATCTGAGTTGAGCGGTCTCCACTCGCGTACGTGATCAAATGTGACTCCCTCTTCTTCAAAAATGTATTCGCTATCGCCAAGTCGTGTGCTTCTGCTGCTTCCAGGATGCGTTCCATCTTCATTCCTCTGACCATATCCGTTTCCACCATGGTATCGCTTGAATCCATAGTGTTCGTGGCCAACGTGCCCATTGAGATCGCCTCCTACGAAGATGTAGTCATGCCCCGCAAGCCGCATGTACCGAAGCCGAGAAGGACGTGTTTTGGAGGGACTTCGACATCCTGCTAAGGACATTTGACGCACACGAGACTATTCGAAGCGTGGCATCATCTGCTTCGATCTTCATCGCCATCAATCTATCTGAAATGCGCGTCACTTCGGTCACTAATTCGCGGTATCTACCGCTGACGATGATCGCGACTCCGTTCTGGCGGCTGCTATCTCCCGTGTAGTATAAGCGATATCCGTCGCCGATGTCCTTAGCCTGCCTCCCTTTCCATTTCGTTTCCTGTACACATGCGATGTCGACGTGTCGCTCCTTCAGCCTATCGCATAGCTCCCGACTGCGGCTCGTCAGCGTTCCTATATTAATCGTCGCTAGTCGGATTTCCTGGACTCGCTTCTTTGGCCTACCTCGTCCGGGGGCAGGTAGCCCTAGCTCACTATTCGCGCCATGCGGGCAATGACGCGCGTCGCCTCCGGGGGACGCCCTAGCAGCTTGACAAAAATCCTTAATAGTCCGATGCATGTGACACGACTGATTCGTACAGTCCCCGGCGCGTCGCTCCGCCTGACGGGACAGTGCCCTCGTCGTTTGCCGGGGTTGATCCCCGTTGCCAGCCGGCACCGCGGGGAGGTGACGATGGGACTTTGCCGGCCTCATAAGCTTGTTAATCAAACGTACGCAAAACGTGCTCGGTCTCTTGGTCAGAAAATAAATAGTATACAGCGCGCATGAGCCACCATAGGCCTGTGCTCGGCAGATGCGTTGCAGCCTACAGCGACCCGGGCGATTTCGCGCACTCAACTTCATCCAGCATTCGTGGAGTGAACCGCATGTCAATTTTTGCTTGGCCTGCCTCTAAATAGACTGTAGTTCACAGTCCAAACCTCATTCCTTGAAAGCGGTGCAGTGACTTAGAATAAGTTTAGTTAACACATTGACGACCATGCAGATATTTACCCTATTTTCAGGTGTATAAGCCGCATCCTTTTTGCTCTAAACGCGAGCAGACCCAGGCGTGCCGCCGCGCATATGTCTCGCGAAGCGGTCGCCTTATCCCATAGGCAGGCGCCATACTTGATCCGCTTGATCCGCTTGATCCACTTGATCCACTTCACTATTGGTTAGTTCACTGAATCGACCAATGATGAAGCGGATCAAGCGGATCAAGTGGATCAAGCGGATCTAGTATGGCGCGTGCCATACTGCTCCCACTCAACGCGCTCCATGATGACAGTCAGTCTTTTGGCGTGTTCGCCTTTACAGCGAAAAAGGTGCGGCTTGTACATTTGAAAATAGGGTAGTTGCCTGCTTTCTGGGAATAGGGCCCTTTACGAAGCAACCCACATTTTTCAACTATAATTACGCATACTCCATCTACAGTTCATCTATAGTAGCTCTGAAAAGCTGACAAAAAAAATGTACAAGTCATCCCTAGAATCAGTGCAAAAGAAAGCTCGTGGAGTGAGTTCATCCTAGGACAGTAGCCATTTTGACAAAAATTCAAGTCTTGACACACACGCTGAAACGGTCCCACGCGGTAGACATTGCTTGCAGCGTCAATGTCTTAAGGGCAGCGTCCAGGCAAAATGCCGAACGAAATTTCTTTCGCTTACCTGGGCTTATCCTTGACACTGAATTCGAAAATGCACCTTGCAGAGTACGAAAATGTCGAATACGGAGTATGCCAAAAGCCCTTATGTTGGAATTCAGACGCTTGCCGCCCAGGTTAAGACGCAGAGTCGTGGTAGGACCCTACGCCTTGACTGTATGCGATATAGGCACTCTGGCTATCGATTGAGGGGGCGGACAGCATCTCCTCCGAGAACATGCTCTCTGATCACTTTCTGCGAGCGTGGGAAAGGCGGAGTCTCAATCGACTGGAAGTGATTAGAGAGCATATTGGTAGAGACGCAGAGTCCAGCGCGGGAATGGAGATGCTGATGCAAGCGACACTGAGTTTGATAAGCCCTGTATGTTTTTCTTGAAATCATTAAACCTGCCCGGGCGCTGCTCTTAAAAGGGCTGTCCTGATTCTGTTGAATCACATATCATCAGATCTGGCGGATAATGCATTAGGCCCCGGACAGACTTCACGCGACTTAATCGTCGCGATCTAATCGCCAAGATTTCCATTCATTTTTTCACATTCAAAGTCGGGCTGGAAAAGTATCACAACCGAATGCAAGTTGATCGGCATGGAATGATGTTGTAACAGTTGTCTCGTCGCGATTCAGTCGCGACGATCAAATCGCGTGAAGTCTGCACGGGCCTTACGCACTTGGAATAACTCACTATTTTTTGTGTGTTATCAAACCAGTGGGGTCTTGAAGCATACTATCGTCAGTTTTCTTTTAGAACATATGTTTCCCTTTCGAGTAATCATACTCCACTATACCTTGATATCTGTTTTCAGATCAGATTCAGACCTCTGCTTTAAATCTGTGAGAGCAGACACTTGAAGCGGCTTAACTATGGTAAGAGAGTGCTCTCCTCTGCTTGGATTTTTCAAGCTGTCTCTTTTCTAGGCTTCCAGAAAAAAAGGGTTGTCTTTGGAGGAAAAGCGTGCAAAGATGCTGGAATTATTCTACGAGACCCAAGAATTCTACCAAATGAAGGAACTTGAGAAGGTGAGGGGACTTAGGTGGTAATAGATTCGGTCGAGTTGCTATTCAGATTGCCCCGAAGAAAAAGGGCATCATATCCCAGTCTGTGAAAGAAGTTACCCAGTCACTAGTAGATGATGGTTTGGTGGAGTGTGAAAAAATAGGCACATTCGTTTGCTATTGGGCATTTCCATCAAAAGCGTTGCAAGTGGTAATTCATATCATGTCTTTCCTGCAATCTGTCCACCTGTTCTGTGCTCAAGAGAAAGCGGAAATTAGAAGAACTGAGGTGTTCAGTCAGCGAGCTGGAGGAGAAAATCAAGGAAGCTGGCTCTGAAATAAAGAAGCAGCGAAAAGGGAAGGAAGTGGGTGCTTTGTTAATGACGGCCTCAAAAAAATCTTGTTTCAATGTGTATTCCATCCTTCCATCGTTTTGGGTATCTTTTGCAGGACAGCGCAGTTCGCACTGAACTGCTGAATCTTCGCACAAAACTGGAAGAAGACGAGAAGATTCTGATTAAGCGGCTTGACAAGTACGCCTTATGTAATCCAGATGTCATTAATCAAATGAGATTACGTACTGAGAAAACACGCGAGGATGCGAATCGTTGGACAGGTGGGTAGTTGAACGTACATCTAGCGCACTGACCATATAAATTGTAGACAATATTTTTACAATCAAGAAATGGTGCAAGTCGAAGTTTGGAATGGACGAAAGCGTGCTGAACAAGCAGTTTGAAATACCTGAAGAATTGGATTACATAGAGTGATTCGCGCGACATGTGTAGTTGTAGAAGTTCATCATTGTGCATGTGCGCTTGACTCAAATTCTGGCACTTTTCTTTAATTTGTTGTTGAATGATAAATGCGAACTGTGTCTTGATTTCTATCTACAGGCTTTCTGCACACTATGCTGTCTGTTCAATACTACGCATCAAGGTTGCTGTTGAAAGTTTCTCTATGAAGAGTCTAGTTCAAGCGTTCTACGCTATAGCCCATTCTGCTCATGCCTTTTTGATTGACCGCGTAATTATTTGGGATATTGTACGACCAACTGTTTTTCAGCAGGCGTCTGGCCGATCATGAACATTGATACTTTTCTGGATTACTTTGCCAGTCATCACATCCACATGAAGGCGGAATGGTTACAAGTTGCTATTGATTTTGTCAGCTCTCGTGAGCCAGAGAAAACGGTAAGGCTTGCTTATGACGTCTCGTATCTCAAGCTGATCTCTTTGCTTTCGATTATTTGATCTCTTTCATTGATCCTTTCACTTAGTTGGAATTTTCTGAGCGTTCCTTCGGACTACGCCACAAGCAGCGGCGCACGAGGCGTACGCCATGGCCTGCGGCGCAGGAGCGCCACTGCAATCGCAGGAGAACTGGTCCCCCATACGATGCCTCGCAGCTGTCATCGGTTCACAGACAGCCGCGAGGACGAAGTCGTGCGAGCGTATCTGCGCTGCGGTTGTCCAGTGTCGGGATATGGTTGATAAAATAATTATCGTTGACCACTGCGGCCGTCCCTGTGGCAATGTGTGAACCGATCATGTGCTTCACTGATTTATAATGTTTTGTTCATCGAAAACTTTCATTTCGGCCCGACGAAAGATGTAGGTCGGATATAGTTCTGCACCCTGTGGAGTGTTTAAACAGATGTATTACTTCGCCTTGCATAGCAATCAATCGCGTAGCTAGCCCATGTTAAATGAAGGAAGAAAACTTTGATGTGCAGTGTTGATATTTAGCAAAGGTGGGGCGTTTGTTCCCTTCTCTCCCCCTAAGTGGCATAAGCATGTCGACACTTGAAAAAAAGGGTGCGGGTGTGCGGATGAAAATAGCTGTAGATGGTCATGCTCTAGTCCGTTGTCAAAAAGCGTTCACATACCCTCACCTTTTCAAACGAGACCACGCCGGATACTAGCGTAAATTTGCGCGCTGCATATGCGCACTGTCGGAGAAGGTAAAGAGATTTGACAGAGCAGACAAGTTTGCAGTAGACGTGGCGCGAAACCCTCGACACATTGATTTCCGCCATACCAATTTTGGTTTGATTGGGATTGGGAAACTTGCTGATCCAAAGATTGGGAGAAGGAAATATGATTAGGACGTACTGAGCTTTCGAATCCCTAGATTTTGGCGAGTACCTGCGGCCTCTAACGCGGTTTTGGCGGTCGCGCACTGTTTCTCAACAGATCCGGGGAAACGTGTACACATGATGATCGCACCTGGAAACTGATTCTAAGGGCCTAAGGCATTGCCTAAACGGCAGCGAGGCAGTGCACTTCAAGCTGAGATATTCTCCCCCGGGAACGAGTGGCGTAGTGGTATAAGGCACCGCTATGACCATATCGGACACAGATTCGATCCCCGCCCCTGGGCCAACCAAGCCCTCTACCCTCAGGGGCCGGCAAATTGGTACGAGAGTATTCTGGGAGGATAAAAGCACTGACTTGTAAACGGCTGGCCCCGCAAGTCACTGTAATAGGCTCGCACGCATGCAATTGCCTCTTCGACTATAAAGTAGTGTGTTCGGCGCATGCCTCAGAGAGTATTGAAGACGCCGAATCCTTTATCCTTTATCTATATTCTCCCCCACACCAATCCCGCCGGGTAGAGCACATTAGTCGATAGGCTCCACCCGCGCGGGGGGCTATCAATAGGTGTGATGGGGGAAAGTGGGCGTTTCTTCAGAGTCGGGGGACCTCCCCTTTCGGCAAGCTAAGTTCCGGGGGGCGGTCAGTTGATACCCGGACAGCCGCTTACACCCGCAACGGGTGGTAATTAGCAAGGAGCGACGCAGGTTTACTTGTGTTGCGCTACGCAACAGCCCAAATCTCGTCAATTTTGTATATTCTCGCGGAAAGTCCATGAGAATGCGGCCATTGCGCCGCTGTTAATCTACGAAAAGCCGCGATTGTTCTCACAAGGAAAGGATACTAACTTAGATTCGCTTTTTGAGATGAGACATATATTCGGAATCAGCTTTGAACGTTGATTCCAAATATGTTGCTCCTACTCAGATAATCGCCGGGGGCAGGCGGCTATGCGATTTATGGGCAGGCGGGCACCAGATAAATAGTTCGTTGATTTCTTGTGCTCCGCTTGCAGATATTTGGAAGAATGTTGGCGAAAATTTTAACGAATGCTGGGAGAACAAATGTGGCTCTTCCAGAGATTGGTTGCGGCGCAGTGGCCGCATTCTCGCGGACTTTCCACGAGATCATGCAATATTATTGAGGGCCGCACGGTCCGTGAAGGACCGCACAGCTCGTAGGTATCTTCCGCTGAGAGAAAGTATCTCAGACTCGGGTAATCAAACCATCGATGGCACCTCTGTTATGTAGAGGTTACCTTTGTCGCCATAAACCCAAAACTGCGTAAAAAGAGTCCGGGCGCCTGCTGAAAGTTTGGCCGCCTCGCTAAAAGAAGTTATTCGACGAGCGCTTGTAGAAAATTTTGTATTGCTGCCCGCCGGCAGAACACGGAAATACCGCTCGCTGGAGGTTTGGCCACGCCCCACAATGTTGCAGACCGCTTGCAGAAAAGCGCGAGTTTGCGGACCGCGTGCCCCCGACGATTTCTGAGTAGCTGCTTAGCGTTATTCCGGAGCATAGGTGCGATAGTGTAAAAATTTGCTCACCCCCCTTCCACCCCTGAACCGGAACCAAGGTGAGCCCCTTCACCAAAAGCCGAGAAAAAAACAACAGTGAGGTAAGGTTAAGAAAAGGAGATATTTGGCAATTGTTTGTGTATGGAAAATGAGGAAGAAGATTTATAGGGATTCACGAAATTCCAGAAGAAAAAAAAATAGTAGCTTCTGTAGTCGCACAGCAGCGTCAGCGAGGAAAGTTCCGTGGAACAACATTCCTTTCTGGTTTCAGGGAATAAATAGTTTGAGAGTCCCTTTATAGAAGTACCTAGTGAAAGGTGTGCCTAGTAATTTCTGGACATTTACGAGTTTTCAGCATAAAAAAATTTATAAATTTTGTAGATGGATAGCTGGTACACGGAAATAGTCGCCATCAAAGCCGCCTCGTCCTACGCTTCTAGAAAATACACAGCATGTCTGAGATACGTTCAAAAAGTGCCTGGGTGAAGGGTGTGCCTAGTAATTTCTGGAGATTTTCGAGTTTTCAATATAAAAAATTCATAACTTCTGTAGATGAACATCTTGTACGCCGGAACCGTTTCGTTTTCCGCTTTTAGAGAATATATACTTTGCCTGGGATTCCATTGAAAAAAGTGCCGGGTGAAGGGTGGGTGAGACTTTTGTAATGGGATTGCTTAAGTAGACGTCTTTTCACAATAGTAAAAAAGCCTCCACTTGAGCACTCCCATTATAGGATTGTTTCAGACTGCCGCACTGACCGCACGACTGCAGCAGACTGCAGCAGACTGCAGCTGACCGCACTGACCGCAGCTGACTGCAGCAGACTGCAGCTGACCGCATTGACCGCGGGACCACACAGATCGCTACATCCTTTCGTGAAGGTAGAGAGGATAAATAGCTGTAGCTCAAACAGTCTCTTAACAATATATGCCCAATAGACAACACGAGCGGGACTGACATAGATATATTAATAACAAAAAGAACAGAACAAATATGAGCGTATTAAAGAAAACCAATCGCCAAAATTTGATTGAGAAGAGTAAGTTAGAAGCGATGAACTTTGTAGGCGTAAATCACCTACAAAGTGTTTGATGTTTGGTGTTTTGATGTATTCGCAACTATTTTCTCTTTTACGGAGATGCAGCGATTGCGCGGCCGTTGCGGTCAGTGCAGTCAGCTGCAGTCTGCTGCAGTCTGCTGCTGTCAGTGCAGTCAGCTGCAGTCTGCTGCAGTCAGTGCGGCAGTATGAAACAACCCATAAAAGTCTCACCCACCCTTCACCCGGCACTTTTTTTAATGAATCCTAGGCAAAGTATATCTTTGCTGAAAGCGGAGGGCGAGACGTTTCTAACGGTGACTATTTATTTGTACAAGTTGTCCATCTGCAGAAGTTATGAATTTTTTATCCTTAAAACTCGTAAATATCCAGAAATCACTTACCACTTCCCTTCACGAAGCAGCCTTTTCGAAGACTCCAGGCATTTATATGAAAGCGGAGGACAAGGCGGTTTCGATGATAACCATCTCGCCGTAAAAGAACTTCATCTTCAGAAGTTATGATTTTTTAATCCAAAAATTCGTAATATCTGGAAATAACTACCCACGCGCTTCGCTGGCACTTTTTTGAAATGATCCCAGACAAACTATATAATTCCTGAAAGCGAAAGAAAAATTTTTTTCTTCAAAAACGTGTAAATGCTCAAAAATTGTCTCTCTTTCCGAAACAGATGTTCATGCATACACATCTTCTACTCTATGGCGTTTTCGAAAAAAGACAGGATGGTTCCAACCCTACTTCATTCTTCACAAAAAAGACAGCAGATGGTAATTGAAAATGATAAAACGTTGATTAGGGAGAATGATGAGAGAACACCATCATTCCCTCCCCTCCCCCCCCCCCCCCCCTCTCGGTCGACATTTTGCAATCTTGACCAATTATAACCTTCACCTTGAAGGGCTGCGACCACTGTGACCGCCCTCACCCTGGAGGAGTCATTCTCACCTTATGGCATCTATGTTCCGGAGCGAGTTATGGGCTTGCGGTTGTGAGTAATTAATAAACTTCTGATTGTTGCGTAAGACGGCGTATAGATAAGAATCTGCTCAAAAAGTGCCCGATTGTTGAAGTAGCTCAGATTAATTCTTTCGATTCTAAAAGGAAGCATTATACAGTTGCAAAACCACCTATAGCTCGAGAAGCACACTTTGCATAGAATAAAGACCATAGCTCGCTTTAGAATAATGCTAAGTAGTTAGGAACAGCATATTTGGAATCAGCATTCCAAGCTGATTCCAAATATATGTGTTTCATCTCAGTAGGCAAAATCAAGTTACTACTGTCCTTGTCTTATCGTTCTTCCGAAAAGTGGCCAACATCCTTTCAAAAATCTGCAAGCGAACCGCAAGAAATCAGCGAACTCACAGGGCTGATAATCGTTGGAGGCAGGCGGCCAGCAGAATTTTGGGGCGTGGCCAAACCTTCAGTGAGCGGTGCTTCCTTTGCTGTCTGTATTGCTGCGGGGAGGGAGGGGGGGGGGGGGGGAACGGAACTTACCTACCCGAGATATTTTCGCACCTCATGGGTGTTGCGGGGTATAATTAAGCATAGCGAGCTCGCTGATTCCATATGCTCCTTAGGATACAGCGCTATTTACATGCGTCCTAAGGCATGCTTTATTTCTTTGTCGAGATTTTTCAAGCTAAAAGTCCAACTCTAAAAGTAAAGTTCCGGCTCTGTAAGAAAAGACAGTGCAAAACCAACAGCAAATTTGAAAAGAGCGCCTCAGAAAACCCCTAAATCTGCATTTTAATCGAAATTGAGCAGATAGTTGCTGAACATCAGTTTTGTGATTTTCTTGAATTCCAGTCATGATTGATGGATGCATCGCGAAAGCGTCGATGGATGGGGGCGAGGCTTACTATGCTGATTGCGCATCTGATCTCGTGATTTTTATGATTTATTTGCCTTTCATTTATTACAATATGCGGCACCCAAACAAACTGATCCATTTTTTCAACGTGAGTGATCTTACTCTTTGTCAATTGCAAGTGCCAGGCTTCTTCTGAAATTCGTCTCTCCATGTCGTTAGGGCCAGTATATCGAGTCGTGTTCTCTTCAGGGCTTCTTGCAGTCCATGTAGTTGGACTTTGTTTGGCAGACGTCTCACGTTGAATGTTCCGATATGTAAACAGTCGTTGTTGGGGTGGAACATACTTGATCCTGCTGTTCCGAGGCTTCCTGGATCAAGGGGTTCGACGTCCGGTAGCGTGGGGAAGAGTGGTCAAAATGACCGACCAGTCGAGGGACGTGTAGAAGATGAACTCCCCTGATTGCTCATAATACCTCATAATACCTACCTCGCTGCGGCAAGTCTTTCGGGTAGGTAAGTTCCCGCCCCACCAGTGGGCAGCAATACAGAACTTTCTGCGGGCAGTCGTCAAATGACAGATTTCCAGCAAGCGCTCTGACCCTTGTTACGCAGTTTCAGGCGTACGCCGAGCCACTCTACATGGCAGAGGTGTCATCGATGGTTTGATTACCCGATTTTTGGGTACGGTGCCCGCCTGCCCATGAATCGCATAGCCGCCTGCCCCCGGCGATTATCTGAGTTGGTGTAATTTAATTTGAAAGTTGAACATGGTTCAAACTGCCATTTCGGCGGCGCTACAACTAAATTCTCATATCAGAGGTGCAAACACAAATTACCGTGCTGACGGCGCTGAAGTAACAGCATACCAGCGGCGAAATTCGCTTATCACGCAAGCGCATCTAGCAGGCGAACGGCCATTGGGGGTTCCGCTCGTACGCAAAATTCACGCGGCTCATAAGGAACGAATGTCAGAGTTGTGTGAGAACATTTCTTGCAAATATGCGCTGTTTTTGATTTGAGTTATGAGAAAGAATGTAAGAGGATATGAAGGTGTCCGCGGGCTGGTCGACACATCAATCGAAAGAAAAACAAAACAGTACGAGATTGTGGCATGGAAGTTTCTAGAAACAAGGGCTTCGAAGGCAATAGCTTGGCATATTTGCCGGAGTTTTTCATCCCCCCCCTTGGCCTTCCGGATTCGATGAGTTCAGCACTTGAAATCTCTTGAAGTTGTCAAAATATTGACTTTTATGACATTTTCCGGCCTTGGAGGTTGCTGGAGGGTCTGGAGTCGAGCGATTGAGGCGCGAATGGCTGCATGAGCCACACTTCACCCATACAGTCTTTTGCACCAGTCGCTGTTTTTGGTGGGGATCTCTCCTCCAGCCTCTTCAGCAATTTCCAAGGCGGGAAAACGCCATAAAAAGTTTTTTTGACAACTTCGAGAGTTCTCAAGCAGCAACAGTTCAGCACAGCGATTGAGGCGCGAATGGCTGCACAACGCACACGAACACAACGCATCCAAAAGGCCAGTGATCGATGGAAACCCGTAGTCGCATCTTTCCCGAGCCACTGCCTTTGATTTAGTCGCCCGAGCATTCTTTCGAAAGCAGCAATAAGCAGAAAGCAGTGGCGTACCCAGGATTTCTGCTCGGGGGGGGGGGGAGACAAATTTTTTCGGATGAAGATGCGTGGCGTAAGCCACGCACTTCGAACATCTTCCTGGGATGCTTTTCAAAATTTTTGCGGCTCTCTGACCCGAAGAAATTTTTTTACAAGGCTAATTTGAATTTTAAAAATTTTTAAAAATTATTTCAATTATTTGCAAATAAAAAAAAGTCGCTTGCACATTTTTATAAATTTGGCAGTTTGCCTTGTAAAAAAACTCTTTCTTCTCTTTGCTGGAAATCTGCCATTTGACGACTGCCCGCAGAAAGTTCTGTATTGCTGCCCACTGGTGGGGCGGGAACTTACCTACCCGAAAGACTTGCCGCAGCGAGGTAGGTATTATGAGGTATTATGAGCAATCAGGGGAGTTCATCTTCTACACGTCCCTCGACTGGTCGGTCATTTTGACCACTCTTCCCCACGCTACCGGACGTCGAACCCCTTGATCCAGGAAGCCTCGGAACAGCAGGATCAAGTATGTTCCACCCCAACAACGACTGTTTACACATCTGAACATTCAACGTGAGACGTCTGCCAAACAAAGTCCAACTACATGGACTGCAAGAAGCCCTGAAGAGAACACGACTCGATATACTGGCCCTAACGACATGGAGAGACGAATTTCAGAAGAAGCCTGGCACTTGCAATTGGCAAAGAGTAAGATCACTCACGTTGAAAAAATGGATCAGTTTGTTTGGGTGCCGCATATTGTAATAAATGAAAGGCAAAGTTTGGTCCCGATCGGTTCAGAAATGGAATTTTCTATACGGAACATACGTACATACAGACATACATACACACATACAGACATACAAACGGACATTCAACTTTATATATAAGATTTAAGTACTTTCAAAAATTTCGCGACCCATTCTCCGGGGGGGGGGCCTCCTTCAACCCCCTCCCCCTCGGTACGCCACTGGCGAAAAATGAAAATTGTTTTTTGCAGAAGAACATGCATGTGTTGTTGTTCGAGCAGTTCATCCATTCAAATCTGGCTGATTCGTACTTACCGCTTGCAAAGGTACCCGTAGTTGCTGTTAGAGCTGTGATCTTGAAACAAATGATCTTTCAGGTAGGCATTTTACATCAACGTTAGGATAATTTTAACAAAGGGAGATTTGCAGTCTAAAAATCATTTTTGGGAACTAAAGTATTTGCTTCTTAACGTGTTTGTGTCTCAAATTTCTGATGCTGCTTCTGAAAAATCCGTAGTCGCTTGCTTCTTCAGCGGTTTTGCTTGGTGGTGTTGATCTTGTTGATGTAGGCTTTGTGAAAACATTTTCTTCATGGGGAAGCCGGGCAAAATTAGTGACTCAAACCGCTCACAGAACGTGCAAAATTTCGCGAATGTTGCGAAATTCCTTTCGCGAAATCACGCGAATCACGCAAACTACGCAGCAGCATAACTTTCTTCGGAGAAAATATTCTGAAACCGAAAGCAGCATTGTGTTTAGCTTGTCAATGCAAATCTTCCGATGTACAGCATGTGCTCGATATTCCGTTTCCAGTTTTCTCAAGTTCTTCTGCGGAGGTCCTTTCGCAAGGATGTAACGCAGCGCCTATCCTGAATCCGAAAAAATCATTGTGCTCAGCTCGTCCAAACGAATCTTTCGGTATATAGCGTGTCCTTGGTATTCTTATTTCAGTATTCAATCTTTCTGCGGACATCTCTTCGCAAAGGTGTAAAGCAGCGCGCATAGCCCCTTGTAGATCCCAGCAAGGACCTTTTGAGAGGGGTGGCGGTCAAGGATGACGATAGCTCTACGCCGCTAGCTGCCAGCAGCTCGCGAGTGCAGAAGAGCCCGCCCTCACTCTTCTGGAAAGCGGAAAGGATTCAAATTCCATTTTTTTTTCATTGAATATTACTTCCTACATTAGTCGTAGTGACTTTATGCATTTCAAATGCTGAATTGAGCTTCAATGTTTACTAGCGAATGCGAACAGTGATGTAATTGCTGATTATCCCCTCCGAGGAAGGTATCAGAAACGATAACATAGAGCAATAATGAAGAAAAATAACGTTTGGGCATATATTACTACAAGCTGTACTCTCTGAGTGAGCTCGTCTGCTAGGTGGGGCGGTGCTACCCATACACCGCTTATTGACACTCGGGCACTCAAGACGCCACTATTGCCAGCTATCCTTACAATTGAATAACATCAACATCTCAGATGATTGCCGGGGGCAGGCGGCCATGCGATTTATGCGCAAGCGGGCACCGGAAAAATAATTCGCTGATTTTTTGCGGATCGCTTGCAGATAGTTGCAAGAATGTTGGCCAAATTTTAGCCGAATGCTCAGAGAACAGTTGCGGCTTTTTCACAGACTAGTTGCCTAGTGGCGGAATTCTTGCGGACTTTCCGCGATAATATGCAAAATCACTGGGGGCCGCACGGTTCTTTGTGAAGGACCGCACAGGTGGGTACCATAGTTAGAACCGAATTCGTGTTCGAATAATTTATTCGAAATATTCGACTGTTCGAATATTCGCATAGTCGAATATTCGACCAACTCCATTTACTCGAATATTCGTTCACTCGAATTTCAAAATGTACCATTATTCGACAGTTCGAATTCGAATAATCTGAGAAACACAGATCGAATAATAATCGATTTGTTCGTTTGAGTATTCTCCAAAAGCCGATTATTCGATATTCATTCGTTCGACGAAATTTTCGGTCGTTTCAACTATAGTGGGTACCTTCCGCTGGAGGGAAGTTTCTCACCCGAGCCATGCTTGCACCTAAGTGATGTGCTTGCCCGGCACAATCTCAGATACCTAGACATTGCAAGCCCCGCCCCCTTATCCAGTACTAGCTGGCATACCCGGCTCCGCCGTATGTTCCGAATAGAAAATTCCATTTCTTAACCGATCCGAACCAAACTTGACACACATACACTTCGGGCCCCGGCGGGTGTCACAGTCCACTTTTCGTTATCGATTGATGTCGATTTTATCGATTTTTTGCAAAATTTGAGCTAAGGGGCTGGGATTTGGCACAGGGGGGTAATCGAACATGCTGATCATCCCCGTGGGGGTGATCAGCATGCTCGATTACACCCCCCTGCCAAATTCCAGCCCCCTAGCCCAAATTTTGCAAAAAAAATCGATAAAATCGATAAAAGTAACGCACGGTTTCGAAAACTAATATTGTATTCGTAATCGAGCATGCTGATTACGAATACAATATTAGTTTTCGAAACCGTGCGTTACTTTTATCGATTTTATCGATTTTTTTTTGCAAAATTTGGGCTAGGGGGCTGGAATTTGGCAGGGGGGTGTAATCGAGCATGCTGATCACCCCCACGGGGATGATCAGCATGTTCGATTACCCCCCTGTGCCAAACCCCAGCCCCGTAGCTCAAACTTTGCAAAAAAATCGATAAAATCGATAAAAGTAATGCACGATTTTGAAAACTAATAATGTATTCGGAATCCCCATGCTCACTTACCCCCCTGTGCCAACTCCCAGCCCCGTAGCTCAAATTTTGCAAAAAATCGATAAAATCGATATCGATCGATACGAAAAGTAGCCGATGACACCCGCCGGGGCCCGAAGTGTATGTATGCCAAGTTTGGTCCCGATCGGTTCAGAAATGGAATTTTCTATTCGGAACATACGTACACACAGACAGACAGACAGACAGACAGACAGACAGACAGACATACAGACATACAAACAGACATTCAGCTTTATATATAAGATTGTCTCAGATGTTGAAACGGGGATTTCAAAGAAAATTTTCAAAATCGAAGTTCCTTACTTGCCCCAATCAAGATCAAATTTTGGATTGGGAGTTTCAAGGTTGCTCTCTTCAGTAATGGGATTTGTTTTGTTGCAAACTCATGGTTCAAACCGATAATGCCCAACCGAGATCAAAAATTCAGGTTTGGAGATTTTCGAAATTTTTTTTTCGAAAAACAAGACCAAATTTTCAGCTTTAAAAGCTCTCGAATTCTTTTTTGATAGCGATTTTATGTTTTGTGCAATATTAACAGCAATTTGATTTTTTGAACATTTTCCGAGATAAATAATATTTTTCCTAAAATTTCACACACGTACAGCTTGAAGTTTGCTTCAATCTTTTTTGATTCAACCATTTTATAGTTTGATAATTTTTTGAGAACCCGTCAACCTATATTTTGGTCTTGTTTTGAGAGGGAAGATTTCGAAAACCTCTAAAGCCGAGTTTTGATCTCGGTTGCGCACATAGATGCGATAGGTGGAGAAATTTTCTTTGACCCCCTTCACTTTAGGGCTGGCATCTGGATGACCTCTTTCACCTGAGGTTGAGATTAGAATCAAGGCATAACGACAGAACTGAACAGCTGTTACATTTTTTGTTTGGGCAACAGGGTTTTTTTTTTAAACAAAGAAGCTTGAGACCTCCTGTCGCACTCAAAGTCGCGTTGATAAAGAAGCCTTAATCAAAAATTGAAGAAAGAATGCCTGATTCTTTGGATAATCAACGCTGTATCTGTCAATACACATCGTCGCAAGAAAGAGTTGAGCATGAGAATGGCGGCTAGTGATGGAAATGGATGCAGATTCACTGACAAGAATCGTAGCATATTTCCTTTCACTATAGAGAGTAAAACAAATGAAAGAGCATTTAGGTAACGTTTCTCAAGCTTTTAAATCATATATAGTTCGAAAAAAGACCTTGGTTTTCAAAAATGAAGCACGTAATAATTACCCAGAATTGCCTGATACTGTAGCTAGATAAAACTGCTCATATCTCGCTTCACAAAGAAGCTAAGAACAAAGAGAAAGTCCACATCGATTCCCCGTTTTCTTAGCTATCGAATGGTATACAAAGTTTTGCTGCACAAAGTTTTCCCAGTCCAAGAAAGGTCTTGCTCCGGCTACCCATACAAACCAAAAGCGGGGTGGAGCAAGCTGGTAGTAAATATGTCCACCTCATTTTTTGCAAAGCCACAGAGTTTTTACTCAACAACCTATCAACCATTAGAAAGGTCAAGAAACAAGGATTCGAGACCGTCTCTTTTTGGCTCCCCTCTACTCAGAGATACAATCTTCTCTAATCGGGATCAGGCCGAACCGGCCGGCTGAATTGCGCGCTCGCAAGTCTAGGGGCCTGCGCTGCATACGCGCGCTCTCGCAGAGAGCGAAGAGATTGAGGAGAGAGCAGAATGGTTAGCCGTAGACGTGAAGCGATACCCTCGCGACACGATTCTCGCCATGTCAATTTTGGGCCTGGTTGGGGTTGGGGCAGACTGTACCTGACATTTCAGCTGAAAACCATGTGTGTTTTTGTTAAAAAATTCATGTTTATAAAAGTGAGTGAAATGCCTGATTGTCTAACTGTATTACAGAGCAGGACCTTAACGTAGACTGTCTCTTTTTTACTATTTTTTCTCTTCCTTCTAAAAATGAAGCACAAATGTAATCACATAAAATCAGCTGATGAATAGGCGTATAAAATTGCTCATATCTCGCTTCACAGAAAAGCTGGGAAAAAGAGACGGTCTATGTTCTATGTCGATTTCACATGTTTCAAGCTTTTAAATGGTATGTTGATTGATAAGACATAATAGCTTTCCTGGGAATCAAAAAAGTTTATGTTCGATGACCTTTCAAAACCAAAGCATTGAAAAATTCCTCATAATCCACCTCTGTACCACTTATCCTCCCTTTGCACACTCTAGTCCCACTCGGTAAGTGAGCTTACGTTAGCATTCACCTCAAGGCCCGGTCACCCCCTTCACTTTTCTGAGTCGGAGATAGCCGAAACCCCCCTTCACTCGGATTGGACCCTGCTCATATCGCATTGTGGTTGGTCTTCATCGGTGTCGAATCTTGACTTCATGACAAACAAATTCCAATGCTGAAAAGAGCAAGGAAACCCCCAAATCCGAGATTTTGTCTTGATCGGAGCAATTCGCTTCTGAACTCGATTTAGAAACTTTCTTTGAAATCCTGGTTAACATCTGAGGCGACAGAGGGGCGGGGTTTGCATTGGACCCCGAAGAGCTCGCAATCATAGCGAATCTGGATATGCCCAGGCACATCACTTAGGTGCTAGAATATGGACTCGGGTGAGAAACCTCCCACACCCTTCGTCTGAGAGAAACTACCTCAAACTCGAGTAATGAACCATCGATGACACCTCTGCTATGTAGATGTTATGGTTGCTCGGCGTATGCCCGAAAACTGTGTAGCAAGATCAGAGCGCTTGCTGAGAATTGGCCAGCGCTCGCTGAAAGAAATTATTTCTATATTGCTG